TATCCACCTTTTTCTTGCCGTAAAAATGGGCCATTTGTAAATTCTATGGGTCTAGCTTCCGGTCTCATCCGCGTCCAGCTATTTTTAGCTGTACAAAACAGTTCGTTTTGCTGCTTGATATTGAAAATTGGTGTGTCTTACCATATTATTTTAATGTATTATCTTAATTATGAACACACTGGTTTGTAGATCAAATAATTTTACAGTTTACTGCACGTTGTTATTCTTCTCGTTATTTACCTATAACGGCTAATGAACCGGAAGTCACGCCCATAGGCTTACTTCCGCGTTGAAGAAAAAGGTGGCTAGAGAGCAGACGATGATGCACATGGTTCACCCAATTCATTCAAAACGTGCATTAAGAAATGAAATGCCACTGTGTGTTGCTTGGAGACGAACAGTTCTGCTTTGTCTTTATATTTTCGTTGGCAAAACTGAGCAAAACTGAGAGCATTGTGTCTAAAATGACACAATATTAACTTCTTACATACTGAACTGTCGTATAAGTTCAGTATCACATTTGCACTCGTGTGATATTGTACTTAGCCTGTTGCTTAACTATATGATGTAAATATGAGACATATCTTGAATTTTAGGGACATTCTAACTACATTCTCTAGGCTCCATCACGCAGTGAGTTCTTGCCCTGCCTCATATTTGTCATCAATCAATTGTATGAAATGTCAGATGACCCTAGGTCTGGGGCAAGTGCGTTAAATGCGTTAATAATTTTAACGTGTTATTTTTCACCATAATTAATTAATCTAATTAACGCGTTAAATTACCAGCCCTAGTATTTATATATTAAATTAATATTAATTTAATTATTAATATATCCATTTTTTCCCCATTTTCAATTGCCTAAGTTTAAACTTCAAAAATTAAGTACTGAGAAGTGTGGCTCATTAGATGAATGCTGCCCTGCAGGTCTGTATGAGTGTGCTTCATGTAGGAGTGAGCACTGACCTCTAAATAGAACAATATGATTCAGCAAACCACACACCAGCAGCACATGATTCAACCAGAATCGACCACACTTCATCGTAAGTGCTGCATTTTACAGCCTCATAAGATGCAACTATGCTATACTTAATTTAATAATAAATAAATAATAATTAATTTAATATTTTATTAATTTAATTATTTATTATTTAATTATGCTATACTTCTTATGAATTACACTGCATTATAGCTCTTAACTGCAGAACTGAGTACATGCTCCTGTTTTCTGTTTTCAGAACTATTCTCATGCTTTTCTCATAATCAGTCATATGCTGCAATCTCTCCAGTTCATCTTGTTAAATTATTAATGGGTTACCAGTGATTTCACATAAATGCAATCTTCTACTGTAATCCGTCTGCTGTAATTATAATCATGTATATCTGCTGTAATTACACATCATGTGTGGAAGCAGGTGTCTAATGTTTTTTTTTCCTCAACAGAGAAGGCAGCACCAGTATTCTCAATAACCTGCTGTCCAGAATGGAACAATATGCCAATAACCTGGAAAACCTGGTAGAGGAGCGAACACAAGCCTACCTCGAGGAGAAACGGAAAGCTGAAAATCTTCTTTACCAAATCCTTCCACAGTAAGAAATGTGTTGTGTAATATTTACTATGCAGTTTCCAAACTTTTAATTGGAGATTGAGGAAGAGATAGCTATTAGTTCAAGAGTTCTCTTATTACTAGATAACTTGCATGTGACGCAACTTCTACCATATTTTTTGTCTCATCTAAAACTGGCTTACTGTTCTTTGAGTAAAGTCTGTATTTCAGACAATTATGTAAGTGGTGAGAACGTCTCGGTTACGTATGGTAACCCTCGTTCCCTGAAGGAGGGAACGGAGACGTCACGTTGGATGACCGACGAATTGGGATCTCGCTTAGAGAGACCAATCTACTTCGAGTGTAAACTAAATGAGCCAATGCACATTGGCATGCGATTATTGCATCCAGCTGCTGCTGTCTCTCTAAGCGAGATCCCAATTCGTCGGTCATCCGACGTGACGTCGGGAGTGACCGACTGAAAGGGAACTGTTAAGATCGGGTTAAGACGAAGCAGACAAGCTGACTAATTATAGAGTACTAAACTCTCTAAGGGAATAGCTAGGAATTAAACAAGCTCATTCGTTCTTTAATTAAATGAATTATCATACTAATTGATCTCAAAAGTGATCTTGGGTCTTATTAAGAAAAAGCTGCTGTACAAAGCTCCCATATTTCAACATGCTGTAAATCATTTTCGATTTGTTTATACCTTTGTTTAGTTTTTAGATAAGGATTTATTAAATGAAATTATTTTCTGTTTTCATCTATGAATTTTTAAAATAACTGATAGTTTGCTGCTGCATGTCTGCTATTGTGTGTTTGGACTCGTGTATGGAAAACGATTTCATGGTTCAACATCATAACCTAATTCTTCTCACAGTTCAGTGGCGGAGCAGCTCAAGCGTGGGGAGACTGTACAGGCCGAAGCCTTTGACAGTGTCACCATCTATTTCAGTGACATAGTGGGCTTCACGTCAATGTCTGCTCAGAGTACACCATTACAGGTCTGCATATACATTTTTAATTATCCTAAAACTTTCTGATTACTTCTAGGTTTAAATTAGATTTTGAATACTTGATTTTCAATGTATCTTCAATGCTAAACTAATAAAACTTTATATGTTATATTATATTACACACTGTAAAAATTATTGTGATTTTAATGATAAAAGACAGTAAAAAATTGGTTACAGTAAGTTTCCGTACAATATACGGTGAATAACTAATAGATCTGACCTTACATTTGATGTACGTTTACAGTAAAATACTGTTAAATGTAAAATTTTTGGAAGTGAAAAAGAACAATTAATTGTGTAACTTACAGTGAAGAACCATGAATTGACATTCCCAGAATTTCCCATGTGACACTTAACATTTGATGGTATTTTGTTGAAATAGTGATTTCTATTATTCTATGTGCAATTTTTTAAAGTTTTACTGATTTTTTTACCATCTTTACATTACATTATATTATATTATATTATATTATATTATATTATATTATATTATATCATAAACATTTTAATTTTATTTCCCTTCACTCAAACAAAAATGAAAAATGTAGTATAAAACAAATATATATTATAGTGGCATTCATTATAAACACATTTATTATAAACAAGAAAAGCCTAAACAAATTTTTTTAAAAGTGAAACTGAAACTACTGTAGTGTGGAAAATGCGCTATATAAATAAATTTGTGCCTTGTCCTTGTTTTGTGTGATGTTAAATGCATGCTAAACTAATAAAACTTTATATGTTATATTATATTACACACTGTAAAAATTATTGTGATTTTAATGATAAAAGACAGTAAAAAATTGGTTACAGTAAGTTTCCGTACAATATACGGTGAATAACTAATAGATCTGACCTTACATTTGATGTACGTTTACAGTAAAATACTGTTAAATGTAAAATTTTTGGAAGTGAAAAAGAACAATTAATTGTGTAACTTACAGTGAAGAACCATGAATGTTAAATCATGATGTTAAATGCATCATGACTCATGATGTTAAATGCATTATATAAGCTGGTTTGAAATTTAAGTCGCTGTTAGTTTCAGATGATTAAAAAAAAAATCATAATTATAATTAATTCTGGAAATTATGGCACATTATTTCATAATAATAATAATGTAAAATACATGAACATATTTAAATGTAAAAATAAATAAATAAATAAAGCAGAAATATGTTAATTACAAATAATATACTAAAAGCAATGCTTACAACAATTAAGAAAATGAAACAAGACAAATAAAATACAGTCCACTTATATTGTATTAAGATTTAATATAAACTTTATTGTATGTGTGTGTGTATATATATATATATATA